TCAATACATTAAGAAGTATCAATTTGCATATGCGATTTACAACTGCAATTCCATGTTGATGATGAAACTTAATCCTACTTATTAACAAGTCATAGCTAGTGCGGTATTGCCTATCTACAGCTTCTCAATATCATTTCATATAACATCTTAATAGAATATTAGATTTATTCGCGATATAGGAGAAAATTCAACATTCTCAACGTGATAGTAATAGCATATTACATATTCTACATTCATACAAAATATAATAATTTGTAAAACTAATAAATCAGGTTCATCATGCATACAATAACCAGTGTTCTAAAAAGCGGCCTAGGCAGATAGTTTTTTTAGCCTGAACGCCTTGCCTAGGCGGCTCCTAGGTTCCGTCTAGCTTTTAAAACATAAAAAAAATTAGTGATTACCCGACCCAAACCCATTACCTGAACCTATTACCCAAACCCAAACTTAACCCTAATACCCTATTTCTCTCACTCTTTCTCCCGACTCCAACCTTTCTCCCGCCGCCTCTCTCTCTCTATTCTCAAACTCCCGTCTCGACTCTCCCCCTTCTCTTCCAACCTATGTAGCACGGACACGGATCCGACACGGCCATCCGACAAGTCGACACGATGCAAATCCTAAAAAATACATAGAATACGTGTGTTCGACACGTGTGTCCGACACGGACACGACACGACACGGCTTCATGTTATGCGTGTCCGTGCTTCATAGCTTCCAACTTGCGTCGCCTCCCACGAGCCCTTCTCCCGCCGCCCCGCCGCCAGCCGCCCCTCTCTCTCTCTGCTAAAATTTTGAACTTTCTTTTATTTTTAAACTGTTCTTAGACAATTTACTTTTTTAGTTTAATTAAATTAGTTTTAGTTAATTTAGTTAATTTAGTTAATTTTAGTTTATTCTTGTTTAATTTTAGTTAATTTTAGTTTAGTTAATTAGTTAATTTTAGTTAATTTAATTTAATTAATTAGTTTAATTAGTTAATTTAGCCAATTATAGTTAATTTTAGTTTACTTATCTCATGCTGGACATTTAGACTATTCATTTTTTCCCTTGAGCATTAGACTTTTGAGTTTGCGATATTATTTACTATTGCGATGACTTGTTATATTGGACATGATGATGTTTCCTAGTATTTGGTTATTAATTTGACTATTTAGTATTTATGCATGGTTGATTATGGATCTAAGCTTGTTATTTATATTTTTTGCGATTTTATATGAACTCAATACAAATTTAGTGAATTATTATAAATAAATAAATAAATAAATAAAGCAAACTCCTAGGCACCGCATAGGCGCCAGGCCCCAGCTACAACGCCTAGTCCGCCTAGTGCTTTCGATAACATTGATGATAACTGTTAAATATCCTATCCACTTCATCAGAACACTTGAGTTTTGGTGTAGCGGATGGAACTTTAACAATACCTATGTAAACAATCATGTCTGTTTCAAGCACCATAATTGACATGATCCTATTGTGTGCCAGACACATTGAATAAGTTCAACCCATAGAAAGAAAGGGAAAAAACAAAAAAAACTTTGCATATCTTAGACATGTAAAACATCAGGTTTTGATCAGAAACCTTGGAGTAGAATACAGATTTTAGCTCAACAAATCTTTTGATGATAGGGTTCTTGTTTGCTTGTGCTTCTTCCTGCGTGCAAATATAGTTTCTTACATACGCGGATCTACCTTGGAGGAGTGGTGTCACATGACACCACTTCCTCCAAGGATGATTGCTATACAATCATGAAGCTTCTTTGAGCTAATAAGTGGATAGAATATTGACTTACATGGGAAAATGTGATTATATACCACCTATTAAGATTCACAATTTTATACTAGTCATTATCTGAAGTAGATAGTTAATAATCTACTGTTGTCAACCCTGAACCATGGTAATTGGCTAACTATTTATACTAACATCAATGATTCTATATCATTTGTTACCAGTTTAAGCAATAGTAAATTGATAAGCTACTCTGTCCACAACACTAATATCCCTTATTACCTCAAAAGTTGCCAAAAATTCATGGTGTTCATATTGACTTCTTAATTATATAAAATCCACAAAAAATCACAAAAGCTTTTTTAAGTACAAAATCATTTAAATCGCAAATTTTATTAATTATTGGTTATATAGTGACAATAGTTTTTGAAAATCCTGGATCCTCCACTGGTTTCTTACTTGGAAATGAGTAATTTTCAACATTTTATAATATCATTTTCTCATTTTCTGATAGATGTATGACTGAATCTATATTCCATGGACAGTTCTACCATGAGCCATATCCGTAGCCAATACTTTTATTACCCGTACTTGTCACTACACTCATTGAATATATGCATATATTTATTAAGATGTGTTCTCAATAATATCATACATGTTTCAATTGAAAGTAATCATCATATGCTTGTTGGATGTACACCTACACTTCCCATCCACTTTTTGAATTTGTTGAATAAAGATCGTGCTGGTTTCAACACATATCCAGTTTAGAAATATAATTAGAGAGTTGTTTGGGTATCTAGTTCAAAAGTGCAGTCTTCTCGTTTCTAATGAAAATAATAAAACAAACACAAGATGTTATAGGAATTTTGAGTTTCATAACATGGTGATCTCACGTAAAAGAAACATAACATGTTATGAGAATTCTGATTTTCATAACATGGCGATCTAAAGTAAATTAATGATTTTAGTGTGATTAATGATTATAGTGTGCGCGTGTGTGGTCATATCTCTGTACCCTATCTTTTACAAATTTGTCATGCCTCATACCTTACACCCGTACCCATTCCCATGGAACATAGGACCAAATACACTTACAACTAATTTTAGATGTTAACTAAAGCCAACAAATTACAAGCTCATGTTGTACTAACAAAATGATGGTTCTTCTAAATATAACATTACTGAGTACAGATTTGTCCAATGCAAGGCTTCTACCACAAAAGTGATGCACTATTCTTAACAATTTGTCCTTCTGCACATCTAACTTAACTTCCAATGAAGACCTAAAGCCAGACTTATTATCTATAAAAAAGCTGTAAACTTCCCACATTCCACATATTGAAATTATTTCACGAAGTAAAACATGTGAGGAACGTGTGAAGTATAGTGGGGTAAATGGACAATGTAGTGGGAAGTTGTTAGCTATGAGAGGAATTAGAGAGTAGTGGGTAGTTAGGATTAGCGTGTAATTTATAATGTGTATTATGATAGAATTATGTATGAATGTGTTTATTATTCCTAATCTAAATTGCTCCTTCTCTGATTCTACCTCCTCTTTCTTTTTTCTTACTCTCCCAATTCTAATCCCTTATTATCTTCTATTCCTCAATCCTTGTGTAATAACCATGGTCGGGCGCGAAAATCGGCGTGGTTAGGAAAATGTCCCTGACAACTTCGTATCAAAGCAGGCTATCGAAAATGAATCGGAGGTTTGCAAATCAAATAATGGCAAGATGGAGAGAATCAAGGCCACAGTTGATCAACATGGAACCATTCTTAAGGTCTTAGGTAATCGGGTCGAGAGCTTATCGCAATTGATGATTAGGATCTCCTCACAAATCAATAGCTTGGCAGAACAAATGGGGAAAACGGCTATGGATAAAAGTCAACAGCCACAAGAATCAGTCCTTAGCCGCCACCTATACTGCAGACTTCACCTGTGGTAGGCCCCTCAACCTCTCAACATAGCAATACCTTTTCATATACTGTCAACCCCTCCTATGGCAGATCCACTTCTCTGACATCATCTATGGCGCCACTACCCAAGTGCAGACCAGAGTTTCCTATCTTCATTGGTGAAAACAAACACAGTTGGACCTATCGTGTTTGACAACTCCTCGAATTCTACTCTATTCCCGAAGAACAACGTGCCAAACATTCTACCTTATTCCTAGATGAAGCACCACTTCAATGGTACCGCTGGCTTGAAAAGGGCAGAGGCCGACCACTACATTAGTATGAATTTGAGCAAGCCTTGTTATCTCGTTTTGGACCTTCTGAATTTTTGGATTACAAAGGGGTCTTGTCTAGGTTACAACAAACTGGTCTTCTCTCTGAATATCAAAGCCAATTTGAGAAACTCTTAAACATTGTAGATGGGCTCCTTGAGGACTACTCAGTTAGCTGCTTTGTTAGTGGGCTCAAAGAGGAAATTAAATTTGATGTTATGCTTGAAGAACCGATTTCATTAGAGGCTGCAAACAGAGACGCACGTATTTATGAGAACAAGCTAGCCATCGCACGAAAATTGCAGACTGACAACACCAATCATGATAAAACAAGTCCACCAAATTCAAGTAACTCAAAGAGCATCAACACATCCGGGACTTCTTTTCCACCACTTCCTCAAATCAAACTAATATCTCCTCAAAAAGCCAAAGAATGGAGAGAAAAAAGATTGTGCTATCATTGTGATGAAAAATATATTACAGGACATCGATGTGAATCACAAAAATTGTTCTTCATTGAAGGAATTTAAATTGAAGGAAAGGACTGGGGGTTCAATAATATTGAGCTCGAGGACGAGCTCAGTTAAAGAGGGAGGACTTGTGAGGAATGTGGGAAGCGTAGTGGGGTAAATAGATAATGTAGTGGGAAGTTGTTAGTTATGAGAGGAATTAGGGAGTAGTGGGTAGCTAGGATTAGCGTGTAATTGATAATGTGTGTATTATGATAGAATTATGTATAAATGTATTTACTGTTCCTAATCTAAATTGCTCCTTCTCTGGTTTTACCTCCTCTTTCTATTTTCTTACTCTCCGAATTCTACTCCTCTATTATCTTCTATTCCTCAATCCTTGTGTAATAACCATGGTCGGGCACGGAAATCGGTGTGGTCAGGGAAATGACCTGAAAAAACAGCCCAATACTTTTATCTTTCGCAAAACTGTTAAATCTGACTTATAACCAACCTTTAATCCAACAACTTAGAATATAAAAAATGAGTAATTGCAACAAAAAAGTGATAAGGTATGAAATCAAAGCTTACAGATGTATCCTCCCATGCTAGCCCTAGAATCAGCAGCGACGATAACGCCCTCCTTAAATATAAACGCAAGAGTCGTCGTTCCTTTCGCCGGCTTCACCATCTGAATCGCCTTCTTCTGGAATCCATCAAACTGAACCAAAACCACCAAAGAATCGAAATTTTAGTACTTTACACGAAAATTTCAAGAATTGATTGAATGCATCTCAAAGGAGTTGAGCTTACATCAGCGCAACTGGGGAGATCGAACGATGGGGGAGCAGAGAGATCGGAACTGAGCTCTTCGATCCCCGATGGACGCAGACAACTCGATTCGAGGCCACTGGTATCTAGAATCATGATCGGATAAAGACTTAGATGAGAGGAATGAAACCCTAGAAATCTTGGAGCGGGAGCGAAATCCTAATTGGGAGAAAAAGGAAGAAATAGAGTTTTGAGCACGAGCGTGGCACGTTGTGTGATTAACTATCAGGTCGGGTTGGTTAGGATGCAGTGTGAATTTGCGTATGACCGTCTAATTATCAAATGCCATGCAAGTTGCGTACACTTGTGCTCAAAATCTCAGTCAATCTCAATTTAAATCCCATCAAAATCCTGATGGGATTTAAATTGACATGCATATATGGTTGCCTACGTAACATTGTCGCATATTTTGCGTATATAGTAAGCGTTAAACAATATAAAATTATATAACTCTCACCGGTAATTTCAAAATTTTATAGTGGGATAGTGGGGCTTTTAACATAATGTCATCTAGATTAGAACACTTGTAGAAAATCTCACATCCTAGTTTGTGTTTAAGTTAGACGGAAAATTTCTATCTATGATACATCATTCTAGACGGAAATTTTCGTCTACAATAGCAAAGTAGACAGTTTTAGTGTGCTATTTTTTTTAAGAATGGACTAGCATCCCAAACGGATATTTCCAGATATTTCCGTCTAGGATACATCCTAGATGGAAATATCATCCTAGATGGAAATAGCTCCGATTGTCAACGAGAAGTAAGCTCGACACGAGCATCGAGTAAGGAATCTCGTCGCCACACAGAATCCATGTTAAATAAAGGAGAAGTCAAATCAACCTTCTCATCTTCTATACTTGAGAAAGGACAATTGTAAAGAGATTTTTACTAGGCGATAAAATCTCATTGCACGACTAAAACAGTCAAGAGAATCAGTCATTTCGTCTTTTTTGGGACCCAACAGAAGATGGCGACCACAGTGGGAGCACTCATTTTCTCTAATGAAATGATCGTGGCGTAGTCGGAAAAGATCGCCGTGGGAACCGACGTCGAGACTCTCATCATCTAGTTCGACCAGTCCAAGTACAAGGAGCTCCTCTCCTCTTGTACTCCAAGTCCCACTAAAGCATGGAAATGCTGCAAATTCTCTTAGGAGGCTCTAGCCAATTCAACTACTGACAACCCAACTTGAGTTTGCCTCGAGGAGAGATCCTCGCCTCTGAATGACGAGGCTTCAAAAATCAGCTGCCAGGCTAAGCAATAGGTTGTCAAGCAGCCCAAGAAAACTCTAATTGCTGTGGAACTTACTGCTAATCTGCCATCATAGAGGGCTAGGCATCGCTAACGCCAAAATCAGGCCCGTCGTGAAGCTCGTGCCTTAGCCTCGCAAGATGGCATCCACTATCAGCCCAGAAATGACGAGGCTGGAACTCACAGGACGGCCAAGGCTCGTCTAACTAAAGTTCGTCAAAAGACAAACCCAGTCCAAAACACCAAGTTCGCCCCATCGACGAGGCCGACAAAACTGGGGTGCGACAAAATGATGAACTTCGCCTCCAGCTTGAAGCTAACACCGTTACTAGAGCGCATTCAAGTGGCCAAGTCGAGTTTTGACTTAGACGGCCAGTTCTGTTAGATTTCATGTTTATAAGCCTACTATCTAAAATCTAGTTTTGATAATTAACAAACAATTCCAAATAATATTTGTCGAGTATTTACATTTGATTGTTAGATATTTTACACAAAGATCCTCCGTTGGAGGTTGATTGGATTGTGCCTACACGATCATATTCATTGGAGGATAGAAGAAATTTGGAATGGAGCATGATGCATTCAAGTCCAAGACACACTATTGCTTCATCTATAATACAGAGGAGGATTGCCCAAGATCAAGCATCATGAGATCATTTAGTTTGGGTATATTTAGTTTGTTAGTTTATACTTTGTGTGTTTATACTTAGAGCTCAATTTATACACACATATAGTTTTGGTTCTATTGCTTTCAAGTTTAGCCACATGAATATGAAACAAGTGGATATAGCTATACACACACATATTTGTTTCATGTTTATACATGCTTGAAATAATTTCATTAAAATCAAACTTTAACAATTTCATATCACTGAAATCATGTTTATCGTTTTTATATTTTTGCAAGTTTGCAAAATATGTGTTTTAAGGATTAAAGACTCAAATATCATTTTACATCTTTTATAAAGTCTATTAATACATTTAAAAGAAATTTGAAACTTGTTTGAAATCATTTTGTCAAAATTATGTGTTTATTGAGTTTTTATGTTTTGGACTATTTTGCAAAATGATGAGTTTTAACATTTGGAAAGTATAATTTGAAAATTTAATTTTGAAACATCTTTATATTCATGTTTATAAACATTTTTTAAAGGTTTATAATTTTTAGAATTTATTTACTATTTTTTAAAGGGGTTTAAAGTTGATTTTTACTGTTTATAACAGGCTGTGTACACATTATCAGTCGACTCACTACAATGACCAGTCGACTAATGAAGTGAAGCACAGATAGTGGTTTTTGTCTAATCAGTCAACTGATAATGCATCAGTCGACTGATGCAGGCATTAGTCGACTAATGCCTGTAATCAGTCGACTGATGATATGGTCGTTGCACAGTAACTACTAGTTTCCAGATTTTGTTGTTTTTGTCTTTTTCTTTGGTTTTTGAGGTTTGTTTTATGAACCTACATATACTCCTTACCCTCAAACATCTGAACCCACTTAAGAAAACTTTAAAAATAAGTTTATAAGAGTTTAAGGGTGTTTTAAGTTTGTTTTACAAGTGTTTATATGAATAGAATTTCACAAGAGGAGGAGATCTTTTCATCTACCGTTTGAGCTTCAATTTCTCATCTCCATCACTCTTAATTCTTAGAGAAGTTTTTCTAAACTTATCTTCTATCATATTCATATTTTGATTCATATATATATATATATACACACACACACACACACACTTGTGCTAGATTGATTTAAGTTTAGTTTCATTTTATTTATTATTTCACACACAACCATTGAGCTTGTGTATTTTCACATATTGTATAATTTGGGTTGTGGGTGTGATTAAGTAAGCTTAAACTTAGTTCTCATCTTTGTTAGAGAACTAACTATTTTTACTTGTGCTATATTTGTGAGATCACATTGTAATACATAAAGACACCAAGAGGAGTGTGTGGTGAGAGTCGGGGTCGATTCTAAGAGGAGTCACGTCAGTAGTAAAGCTTAAGGAGAGGTAGTAAATTCAAGTACTTGATGAAGTCGACACATGCTAGACCAACACTGAGAGGGTTTATTGTTTGATTTCAATTGTTTGAGTTATGAAAGTTTTCGGTGAGCTAGAAAACCGATTGTGTAAACATTTTTGGTGAGCATTCAAAACCGATTGTGATAGTGGAGATTCTCTTCGTGAGTGAGGAGTGAAGATGTAGGTCGAGGGTGGCCGAACTCCGTGATCATATTGGGTGTTTGTGTTTGGCTTGGCGTATTATTCTTATATTCATTGTTTTTTATATTTCTATATCGCCATTGTCTCATGGTTTATATCGCCCTTTGTTTATTTGTTATCCTTGCATATATCTTATTGTATATCATACTTGCTAGGATATTATTAATAAGTTTTAATTTGGTATTAAATCAGATTAGATTAGCAAATACCCTATTCACCCTCTCCCCCCAGGGTAATTTTATTTGGTATCAGAGCTTGGTGCTCTTTGATTTGAGGTTTAAATGTCTATAGTCAAAGATCCTTGCTTTGCTATATTGCTAATCTAGTTTCGAGATTATTTTCATCTTGCTTGTATATATTATTATGGATATGAATGGTGAACCTAGTTTAGGGTATGATTAATGTTGCTCCCTTATTCAATAATTTTCCTTATGCTCAATGGATGTTTAGATTTAAAATATTTGCTAGATCTAAACATATCGATTTATGGGAAGTTATTGATAGTGCATATGTTGTGTCCAAATTAGATAAATCTAAATGGAGCACAAATGATTAGAGAATGTTTGTTTTGAACAAGCTGTTGTTAGAATTCTTGCTTAAAGCTTTTGATACATCTATTTCTAACAAACTTGCTTTTTTTGATAGTGCCTATACATTATGGAAACAAATTGAGGCACATCATGGTAACATGAAGGAATCCAACGCTTTCCGGTGGGTTATCCTTCAAGTGCTACTATTGGAGCTTCATCGTGCATGCAGCCACTAGGCGATAGCCCTAGTGAGCTATGTGAGTCCGATTCCAAAAGTGAACTTCCAATTCATGAACTCACTAGTGCATATGATAGATTAATACATGCTTATACTAAGTTGCATAATAATTTTGGTAGTTTAAAAAACAAGCATGTTGAATTAAAGTCTGAACATGAATTGCTAGCATCCAAGTTTGATTTAATTTCTAAAGAGAATGTGATCCTAAAAGATAACAATGAAAAATTAAAATTGGATCATGATTCTTTAATTTTAAATGTTGCTAGTTTAACTTATGAGAAAAATAATATCATTTTAGAAGTAGAAAATATTAGAAATAAATTTGATTCTTTCAAGAATAATCATATTTGTTCTGCTTCTATTATCAATACAAATGTGCAAAATAAAGAGTTGAATCATGTAAACAAGCATATTTCTTCTTTAGATTCAACCCTAACCAAATGTATTGATAATCATAAGAAGCTTGTGAATATGTGTGCTAAGTCTAGGATAAATAATTCAAAATCATCCACTCATTATGTACACATATATAGCAAAATTTATAAGTGTTTTATTTGTGGCCGAAAAAGCCATTTAGCTAAGTTTTGCTATGATGCACAAAAACCCAAGAATGCTAATATTAATACCCATTGTGCATCTCATAAAAGTTTCTTCATCACGTCATACATATACACATGCTCATACTTACAAAGTTCATCATAAGCATGTTCATGTGTACAAATGTAATTATTATGGTCGTTTTGGTCATTTGACCAAATTTTATTTTTATTTGAAAAAAGATTCACATTTGAAAAATAATTTTAAAAGACCATCATTGTTTGTAAATATTTGTGCACAAGTTAATGGTCAGCATAAATAAGTGCACCCTTTTCATTACATGTATTACAATCGGAAGGGTCATTTGCACAATTATTATTATGACCGGTCTAGTGCACTAAATGCGCCTAAATGGGATCATA